TAGTTTGATGCTTTGCAACAATATTTCCCTTAATTCAAGCATTGCAATATTCAAAATGTGACTTGGACTGAGGCAACAAAGGTTTCACACATTGGAGTTTTGGACCCTGTCTCACAGGAATTAGTACTTTGAGGCAATGATTAGCAACTTCCATCTCCCTGCTTTGTATGGTGGGGATGTGCATCATCATAGATGGTCCTCTGTGCTGCTTCTTAACTCTGGGGGTCATGTGGAAGGACAACAGTTGAAATGTATAGCTACAAACATTTTTGAAGCAGGGTGGAGGCAGAAGACAGTTGCATCATTGATCTCCAGGGAGATTCTCATGGTAGCTAAGGGTGTGACCGCAAAGATACTAATGCTTCGGGAATTCTGGTGATGAGGCATCAAAATGCCCCACAATAAGTAACAAGGAGACTAGAATACTAGGATGTATGTGGTAGGAATTTCATTTGATCCTTCCTAGCCAACCCAGCTGTGGTAGGAAAATAATGTCCTGCTGTCAGTCATCTACAGGTGAGGGGTATCAAGCTCATCTTGGTAACAGCAGATGTTGCAAATACCCATGTGGCTGGTTGAGGGAGACAAAAGTATTTGCAGCTCGGTTAGGGGCACCTGCTAGACTGTGGTGTCCTACACCTTGTTGGTCATGCTCTTCTTTCACTAAACCATTTTCAGTGCTTGCTTGGCCCTTGATACTATCAGGCAATTTTTCTGAGGGGGCTCTGTTCAGCAGCCTGGGAGGGGGAGGCCCCTGCTGCAGCCCTGGCCTTAAACCCAGCCTCTGATTTCTGACTCTGTCTGGCAGGGCAGTTTTTGCTCAGTTTTGCTGACACTATTCTTTGTGGAGCCATGCTGTAAACCAACATACCAGTCCAGGTTAAAATAACTCTTTCAAAACAATTGTGATCTGAGTCCACAAACGGTTTTGTCAGCATAACAGAGGGCTAACATGCTTTGTCCCAGGCCTGGGTACAAGAATGAGGGCAGGAAGTTTAACCTTACAGAGGATGAAAATACCACACACAGATCATGTGGGAACAAAGCAGAAAGGCAGGCAAAGGGTATACCTAGCTGAAATTGGGTATTGCAGATGTTACTTCTGCATTCTGAAATGTCCCAGTAGCAGAGAATTATCAAGGAATTTTTTTCTGCATGTAGCTGAAAACAAAAACTCCCAACAGGTAGTACTACTCTTATAGTTCCACAAGGTTTATTTAGTGTCTGGCAGGACTGTTCTCATTAGGGGCTCACTCAATGTTTTTCTAGCAAAGCTGGCCATGTGATTAGACAGATAGTGAATTTGAACCAAAGTATCTATTACTTCTTTTAGGAAAGGGGCAAGTGCCCTGGGGAGGTGCAGGAGTTACTTTATGGTGACAGTTCCCTGGTACAGCTTCCCATACAGCATGAGTACAACTGGGCCATCAGTGGTGAGGCAGAAACTAGTGGGATGTGGGAGAGGGGCAAGAAGGGGTCATGACTTAAGATGGACCTACTGCCAGACTAAACATTCATTGAACAGTCTCCCCAGGAAGTCAGAATGTTAATGTTAAATATCTTTTTGCAGTTCTTGGTGTTAGTAAGGTGCTTGGTACAGGCCTGACATCTTTGGAAGCAAGCTGGGGCAACTGGAAGCTGCACATGCAGCTGGTGAGAGAGCAGTATTGGAATAAAGGCTGGGTGTGAGATTGGGAGGATGTGTTGACCAGGGCTTTTGAGTGGGGAGGAAGGAGGTAGATGTCTGATACTGTTTGATATTTTCTGTCACTTTATGTAAAGAAGGGAATAGTGTGTCTATTTATAAGCTTGCAAGTTAGTAGTTTGGTAGGGCGGCAGGATTGAGACTCACAATATCTGGAACAGCTGAGAAATATGGGACAAAACCAATTAAAAATGCAGTTTATACGTTTTGGTACCTGTAGTCAATGGCATGAATGGAGGATGGCTGGCTGTATAGCAGTTCTGCAGAAGAGGATTGGAGACATTTCACAATTTGTGAGCCAAGCACGAGTGATCATGTTATGCATTTTATGTAGACAAAAAAGGCAAACTGGCTGGGACATACAACTAAGAGGTATTATTTAATAATCATTTAGCTCTGTAAAAGCTGGTAAAGCCTATGCTGGAATACGTACCCAATTTTGGACACTATACTTCAAGAAAAATGCAGAGGAGGAGTCCAAAAAATAACAAGCAAGCAAGCAAAGGTCTGGGAAATCTTATCTGTAAGGAAAGGTTGAAACAATGGTCTTTGATCATTTTATATAGCAGAAGACTCTAGGAAAACCAAAGCTGTCAAATATATAGGGATAGATGCAAAGAGGAAGAGAATAAATTGTTCTCTGTAATGATTCCAGGTGAGTTAAGGAATGAGTATAAGTTGTAGGTAGGGAAATGTAAGTTAGACATTCAGAAAGGTTTTTAAATAGTAAGGGCATCTATGCCCTGGGATAATAGTAATTTCAAAACCAGAAAAATGTGTAGGGGCTATTTAACTTTGAATGGGGTATGATTTTACAATAAACACCCTCTTCTGACATGTCAGCTCCATCCTAGATTGCTGAGGGAAGCAGTGAAGGATTTGTGCCCTCTTGACATTTTCAGAGGTCAAATTTGAAGTTTTCTGTCATGTTGCCAGCCCAGAAAGCTACAACCTAGTGCTTGTTTCCAGAGGACTAGTTGTGAGAGACTGAAATAGTTCTTTACTATATTATTCCCCTTGCAGTTTTACTTTTTAATATCTATGTGATTTGGGAAGAGGGCTTTTCCTTTTTTTTTTTTTTTTTTACTTGAGGATCTGCCTTGCTTTGTTCTTCTGTATATAAGAGCTTTCTTGGTCTACCTGTGAAATCAGTTGAACTCCTGCAGTTGGCTTTCCTAACCATTTGCTTTGGTCAGGGAAATGTCACTTAAAGTTCATGTGCTGACTCTTACTGACAGCAGTGATAGGCAAGAAGAGGAGAGTAAAGAATTACTGCCATGCCTGCACATTCCTTTGGTAGTGAGCTTTTGAAGACTCAAGATAAGGCCTGCTTTGCTTGTCTCCAGATTTGATTTTTATGCCAGTTTATATATTGCATAGTGTCTTTGCCCAAGTGTTCCTGAACTTTTATTTCACTTTTCTGTGATACACATACGATGAAAGAAATGAATGTTTAATTTCAAGCACATGCATGTTCACAAGCAGTTCATACAGCTTAAGAGTATTTCCCAGTATCATCTGTTGCTTGCTCTTCATTGAAATGTGACGGTCAGATGTCAGGAGTTGATGTTGCAGCTATCCAGTGAAGTTCTTTGTATTATTTTTCAGTTATTGCAAAACCATATCTGTACCCTTACTTTGGTTTATCCCAAAGTGCAATCAGTGCACTTTGATTTCACAGCTTGCATAACTTTTCCTGATGATTTCTTTCCATAACCAGATTGCACAAAACTATCTTTAATCTGAACAGGAACCATTTGCCCCATCATTGTAGGGGTCTGTGTACTCACTTGCTGTGGTTAGTTCTCAATTATTGTTAATTTATTCTACAAGCTACTCATCATTCATGGGTGAATCCCATCCATGATGCCCTGGTGTGTTTAGAATTCCTGGCATATGGAGTAAATTCTAGTATTTACCCCATTGATGTGAACCTAGAGGGACTCAGTATTTCACAGAATGTATGTCTATCTTAACACTTCGTCTTCAGCTCTTCCGTTTTATTGTCAGAAAGACTTTAGAAGTCTACATATGCATTAGAAGTAGTTTTACGTTGCATTTTTGCAAAAGCTTTTATTTTTTAATAACCTTTTGAAATGTAGCTATGAAGTTACATTTGAGAAATAGTTAATAATTGGTCTTAAGTGAAAATTTGTGTGAGTAGATAACATTTTGTAGGACCTAGATGCAATACTTTGGAGTTATTAACTGTACAAGTTAAAATTTCTGTCTTCAAAAGATTTGTAACTTACCTTTAAAGCTGTAACTTTGCTGTTTAGCTTGATGGTAATTTAGAAACTTCACCAGGCAGTTTTAAATGTATTTCAGAAATACAAAAAGAAATTACTAAGTTCCCTTCAGCATATTCTGAATGCAAGCCACAATGTGATTGTTTTCAAAAACAAGCTACTTGCACATTCAGGAAAACCATGAGGAGCTAGTGGCAGTTACTGTTGTTGGGTTACAACTAATGTCACCCTCTTTCTCTAGCTGTACTGTGGGACGTGAGCTTTGTGTACTCCAGAGGAACCTGGCAGAGTGAGAGATTCCTCCAGAGTTAGTTCGGTCCTGGACAGCAGAGGATCAGTTTCTTAAAACATGATCTATTTTGGCTCTGGTGTTATACTGGGCCTGAGGGGGCGAGGAGGTCTGTTATATGGAGAGCTGCTGTTAATTCCTCAAGTTGTGGTTTTCTGTCAACGGACAAATGTACTTTCCTGGCCAAGTGTTCCTGTTTTCAGAATAGTTTCTCTTACATGGAGCAATATATATGTCCTGTGGACCTGCAGTATTTGTAACCAGCTGTTGCATGTACACAAAACACGGGTGCAGGTTAAGGAAAGACTTGCAGCTTCCTTTCACATGTGAAGGTAGTAAAGAGGATTTACAGTTCATTAGGATCCTCTTCCATCCTTCCAACCATTTCATGTATCAGTGCTGTTCCCTTACTGAAGGGTCCTGGATGTTTTTTACTCCACATAGAAGCTTGGAAAAGATATTTGTTGCGGGGCTGGTTTCAGCTCGTGTTCTTGGGCCCAACTTTGAACAGTGGTTAGTTCAGCTAGAAACGTAGCCCATATTACTTTTATAAGTGGTCCACAAGAAGTCCAGTGCTGTCAAAGGGAGTATGTCAATTCACATTGCTTTATACCAGCTGGAGAGCTGGTCCAGTGCATTGAAAGATGCAGGAGGCAGTTGCTGCCGTGGATTTGTTAACTTAGTTGGCCTGAAGGGACGTGCAGTGAGAGAACCTCCATCATTCTAATTAATTCTTCAAATGTCTTTCCCTCAACAGCTCTGAAAAGTCCAGCTGCATTTCATGAACAAAGAAGGAGTTTGGAGCGGGCCAGGGTAAGATGCAATATGGTCTTTGATTTTTTTAGGGAAGCCAGGAGTAGTTTGTTTTAGTTTTGAGCATCCTGTAGCTGTTAATGAGATGCAGAAGGAAATTGTTCATATTCTGGATGTAATACAGCAGCACTATGCAGTCAGAGGTATATTGGATGGGCTGTTCTTTAGCTTACATGTGGTGGTGGTTAACCCTCAGTGAACTAGTTGTGTCTATAAACCATTGAATATGATTCCTGGATTTCCCCTGGAGTCTTCTTTCTGGAAGTCACTGATGCTCTCCCACTGTCCATATACTTCACATTTTTATTTTTATGGTGGCTGTTTTGCTTCTGTTCATGTGGAGCTCAATTCCACCTTTGAGGAAAGTGTATGGTTTCTCTGTTACCTGCACATGCACTTGTTTATCTAGGACATTAGGAACTGAAAATTTAGTGGAGAGGATCAACCCCACCCCGTAAAAAATCTTGTAACACTGAAATCAGACTTCTGGCTCTATAGAAAGAGGAAGTCAGGAGTCACACTTCATGCTGCACCTTTGCTAACTGGGGGGTTTCTTGTTGATTTCTGTTCCTCAAAAGGCCTCTGGGGACAGTTTTAGTTTTTCTGATTAGCTTACAAGGGAACAAAACCTGTTATGACTGCTGGGCTAGGTTTTATTTTAAAAGTGAAAGCAACATAAGTAAAAAAATAACAGCTGTGATTAAAGGCTGTAAGGGAGAGTGTTAGCACTTTAAACTCTGTGGAAGGTTTGGTACAGTGGACTTGGCATTAAGACCAGTGTCCCAAAGGCTTTTGCTTCTTCCTCCTCTATTTTTCTTCAACTCTTTTTATTAAGTCAATATTTTGGTGAAGTTTTCTGATTGACTTTAATATCTATTTTCTCTGAAGGCCCTTTCTGATGGCCAGTAGTCTCCAGTCTGTTACCTGCTGCTCTCAGATTCCCATCTGGCTGTGTAAAGGGTAACGTGCTCAGCCCGGGCAGGGTCATTCATCTCTGTACATTGCTCTGTGATTCATTTTCCAAAGACAGAGCTAAAAGCAGTTCTGGAAATTAAATAGGCCTTGTCATAGCATTTAGATTCTGCCTGCCAAGGGAGTGTATGGGTTCTTTAGCTTAACAAATAACATATCATTAAACAAATAAAAAAGTATGCCCAAACCACAAGTCAGCCCTGAATGCCAGCAGTATATGAAAGTATTTGCTGTGAACAATGGAACCAGTGCATCCATCTTTAATGTAAAAAGAAGAGTCTTGAATTTCACCCTGACACAAGTTAGGGGTGTTGCATAAAAGGGGAAAAGAGGGCTTCAGCTCTTGGGGAAGTCCTTTCCAGTTTCTGTTCTGTGAGTGAGCAGTGCAATTTTACACTGAGATGATGTACAGTAGAAGGTCATCTTTAGAATGCACTCATTTTCTGGGTGCTCTGGGACAGAAGATATGCCCCTTCTCTGTTCTATGTTTCTTTACATCTCAGTGACAACTAAAGGTGGTTGTTTCTCTCGTTTGTGCTGTCCAAGATTACCTCACTGCTGTGTGTGATCAGCTCAAATCTGTTCTTGCTTGCCTGTTTTTGCTGCAGACAGAGGACTATCTGAAACGAAAAATCCGGTCCCGGCCAGAGAGATCAGAGCTGGTTAGGATGCACATTTTGGAAGGTATGGCACATGCTAAGCAGGAAAACACCAACCATAAACTTTATTGTAATTAGTTATTTAACAGTTTTCTCTTTTGCCTCTGACTCTCAAGTCTTTCTTTCATTTGGGAGTGGGCAGAAGATGATGCCTATTGCATGATTTACTGGGAGGCGTTCAACTCTGCTTCCATGAAGATTCTCAGAAGAATCTGAGAATTTTGATTCTCAGATTAATCAAAATTGTGCAGTTTTGTGTAGCTGAGCAATAATGAAAATGAATGACCATGGTTTGCTTTTCTACTAAGGGAAGACACTGTAAACTATCCAAGAAGGAATGAGGCAGGTTTGATCTTAATTAGTAAGCACCTCAGTTTCAAAGAAGGAGTACTGTGCTGCTGCTCAGTACCACATCTTCGGACACAACTGTGTCTGTCTTTGAAAGGAAAAGATTAACAAGAATCTGGTGACATCAGTTTGAGAACAGTGAATTTGTCTATTTTAGAGTTACAAGAGCTACTGTAGTTATCTTAGTAACTTCAGTATACCTAATATCTATAATATCTTTATAGGGCACAGTTATCTATGCTTTTTGCAACTATTTTTCTGTCTACTTATCTACTGTTACCTACAGTTACTTTTCTGTATAAAAGTAAAATACTGCTGAAGTGCATAGGTTGACCATTGCTGGATTGATACCGTTTTATTTACTTTCCCCTGAACAGAGACCTCAGCTGAACCCTCCTTGCAGGCTAAGCAGCTGAAGCTAAAGAGAGCCAGGCTGGCAGATGACCTCAATGAGAAGATAGCGCAGAGGCCAGGTCCTATGGAGCTGGTGGAGAAGAACATCTTGCCTGTGGAATCAAGCCTGAAGGAAGCTATTATAGGTAAGGCCAGAGGAGGATCTGTGTTGAGGACATTTCCTATAGCTGGCTGTGATTTTCTATCAATTATCCTGCCTGTCTAAGGGCATGCAGTCCCATTCTTGGTCTTGTTTTCCTGTCTCATAGTCACAGTCTTTCAGCCCCAAAGGTTTGGAAAAGCTGAACTCCTTTCTGCCCCAGACAGCCTACAGAGGTGTAAAATTATAGGGACCGTGGTCATCCCAGAATAACTGAAAGCAATTGCATACCCTAAAGTCTTGAAAGACTGTTGAAGATTGCATTCCCTAGATTCTCTCCTTAAAAATCCCCCTTTTAGTATAACATGTCAGCAACCTTGGTCAGGGAGAACCCCCTGGCTCAGATCAGGCAGGGGAGACAGAATATAAACAGGTGTGATGAAACAAAAGCTGTCTGTGAACTTAAAAACTTCAGAGGATTCAACCCCTTTAAAAATAAACCAGAACAGATGTAAATCATGCCAGTGCCATTCCAAGGGTTGAAAGGAATGCTGAGGAATAGCCTTCCCACTGCCTCAGCAGTGTTCTTTCCCATCTCCCCCGCCTGAGCAGTCAGTGTGTGTCTGTGGTTATTCATCCCCCCAAACACATACAGCTACTCTAAAGACAAATGGGACACAACTGGGAGCAAGAAAGAATACTTCTCATGAGAAAGGGAAAGGACAGTGTTGAGGGAGAGCCTGCCTGCAGTATTGCACAAGAGAAGTGGTTGAGGAAGAGAAAAAGTCAGCTTGTGAGCTGGAGCATTAGAGCTGTGGCTTCCTTCTTACATTGACATCTCTCTGATTTCTATTGCCTTTGTTTTAGGTGCAAATGATAGCATTTTCCTGCTTACCAGGATTAATTTGAGATAATGTGATCTAAAACACATTAGTGCATTACAGATGTACATTTAAGTGAATTTGTCTCCTAGACATGCAGATAGACAGAAATGCTGGTCAGGGACACCACTTAATCCATAGCCCTTGTTACTTGTAAGACTAGAGGATAATTTGGGATTCTGTCTTGAAGAGGGATTCTACCTTCCACCACACAGGATGTTCATTACCAAAGAAACTGTGATTCAGCTTTGCACTGTCTAACCTTCTTCTTCTTTGGTGCCAAAATGATAATCAAATAAGCTGTGCCACACATCTGGGTTTGGGCAGAGTTCTGTTGCTTTTGTTATACTTCCTGATCTTGTCTAGCTAAAGGGACCCCAGTCGGCACCATTTTATTCTACTGATAGCAGAGATGAATGTAAACACTTAAAACTGGTCCAGTTTGGGCTCTGTTCTCTTATTTTTAGTTGGTACTTTAAGCAGAACTCAGGCACAGCTCTCTCCATGCCTTCATTATCTTTGTGACACATCTAGTGATAAGTGAAATAATTTCTTATTCCTCTTTAAAGACCACAGTTCATGTTTGTGTTTCTAGTTGGACAGGTGAACTACCCAAAGGTTGCAGACAATTCCTCCTTTGATGAGGACAGCAGTGATGCCCTCTCCCCAGAACAGCCAGCCAGCCATGAGTCCCAGGGGTCTGTCCCATCACCAATGGACTCCCGGATTTGTGAGCCTCTCCCTAGCACCACTGGCACATCACTAGCTCAGGTGAGAATGTGGTGGCCTCCTGCAGTGCCCTGGAGCTTCACAGCTACTGCTGATTTGTATCAAAGGATCCTAAAATGTGAGACTGAGGAAACCTCAAGAAGTGTAGTCTGTGAGATTTCACAAGGGGTCTTAGCTCTGTGTGGTGTTGGTGAAGCCCTCTGGTTGTTCAGAAGCCCCTGTAGTGGTGCCATGTGGGGAAAGGGGACAGTCGTTACCTGGTGTTACAGCCTGTGTTGGTGTTGCACTGATTCTGGCAGGCAATGCTGGGAGATACAGATGTGGGATTTTGATTCCTTTTCTGCCCTAAAAAATTGTGCTGCTTCTCAGGGACAACTGAAGCAGTGGGTTAAAGGAGTCTAATCAGTGACTTGAAAATTTGCTGCTTCCCTTTAAGCAGACATACCTGCACTCTCTTAAACCGTTTCCCTCCTTGTATGTGTATTTGTTATGCCTTTTTCTGTTCCCACAGGGTACATCCCAATTGCAGATTAGCGCAGACTCCAGTGAAACACTTTTCTTACCTGAACAGCCACCCCCACCTCTGCCACCTCCACCTCTTCTGTCTCCTAGTCTTACCAATGGAGCGACTCTTACTGCTGCCAAGCCCCCACCAACACTCATTAAGGTACTATTTTGGCTGATTGCCTCATTGTTGTAGTCTGAAGGAAGATGAGATATTTACTCTGAAAAAGTCTTGGAGTTGGAAGTATTTTGCTAACAGAGGTAAGGGAAGTAAAGCTCATATATCACTAGTGTCCTCCGTGGACACTGGTTGTAACATACTGAATAAGTTTTTCTGATCCATGGTGTATTCACCTTCTGTAAAATGGGTCCTGAATGCAAAACAATCAGCATTATCCATAATTAGAGTCAGTGAGTCTGCACTGGATGAGCAAGTGATCAGGAGTGCTGAGAAGGATGACCATTGTGGTGCAGTATGAGCTGCTGCGGGCGCTGTGACTGTACTGTTGCCTGAGGTAGAGGAGCATGGAAAGACCCTGAGGTCAAATCTGGAGAATTTTGAAATTAAAATCCCAGTGTGCATTCTGGTTTACATGGGGTGTTATGTTGTTTCAGCGTTTCCATTCTTACTTGCTTCCTCCTTTTCTTTTAAATAGCAAAGCCAGCCCAAGTCTGCTAGTGAGAAGTCCCAGCGCAGTAAAAAAGCCAAGGAGTTGAAGCCGAAAGTCAAGAAGCTTAAATATCATCAGTATATTCCCCCGCACCTAAAGCAGGACAAGGGAGCTCCTCCCATGGATTCCTCCTATGCCAAAATTCTCCAGCAGCAGCAGCTCTTTCTCCAGCTTCAGATCCTCAACCAGCAGCAGCAGCAGCACTACAACTATCAGACCATCCTGCCAGCTCCACCAAAGTACGGGTCCTAAACAGCAGCTCTCTCTTAGGAAGCACCTGCTTCCCTGCTGCTGCTATCAGAGTCACTGTGTTGTGGGTGTGAGGTGGGGTAGTTGGCTGCAATGCACTCAATCTCCTTAAGGTACAGTGGCCCTCAAAAAAGGGCTGGTGTCAGATGAGTCAGACAAAAGCATCTGAAGTGAGTTGGTTGGCTGGGTAAGGGGCATGGATATAGTCAGAGGCACTGGAATGATTTAATGTCTAAGGTGGCACTAGTGGCCCAGATGTTTCTGAATGTGTATGATTGTTGATGTTGAGGACGTCCGGTGTCTTTCCACCTTGGTTTTGATGCCTGTGTTTTTTCTTTCCCTGCAGGCCTCCAGGAGAGCAGCAGAGTGGTGCCAGTGCCCCTGCTGTACGCAGTCTCTCTGCCACAGTCAGCAGCACATCTTCCGTGTCCTCTGGTTCCAGCGGGCTGATGCGACAAAACAGCAATGCTGCTGTGGGCAAGCCTGGCCCTCTCCCTGCCAACCTAGATGAGATGAAGGTAAATGTCCTGAGAAGCTCCACAGTCCTTTTTTTTTTTTTTGCCATTTTCAGTGGAGAGGGTGGTACTGAACAATGTTGGTGCCCTGGAGTAGGGCTGAGACGGATGAGCAGGAGTTAGCGATAGCAGCTGGCATTGCTGCCCTGCAGTCTGTACCTGAGGTGCAGGTTTGTTGGCCTGCAGGAGGGTCAGTTTAGTCCCTTGCCCCATGGCTCTGGTAGCAGTTAATAGTTGTTCTGGTTAGAGTGCATGCTTTCTTATTGTTGCCCTCTTTCTTTTTTTACTAAATCAGGTAGCAGAGCTGAAGCAAGAGCTGAAGTTGAGGGCCTTGCCTGTCTCAGGTACAAAGACAGGTCTGATTGAGCGTCTGAGAGCTTATGAAGAGCAGAACGGTGCAGCCAGCCAAACAACCTCCACTCCCAAGCCCAGCACGGCTGCCAGGCTGAGCACGGGGCCAGCCCTGGTCACCACTGGCATTGCACCAGCAGAAGTCGTTGTGGCCACAGTCACCAGTGGCGCTGTGGTGAAGTTTGGCAGCACAGGCTCGACTCCTCCTGTTTCTCCAACTCCTTCTGATCGCTCGCAAATAAGCACAGGGGACGAGAACTCAGCCACTGGAGACACCTTTGGAGAGATGGTGACTTCACCCCTGACCCAGCTCACCTTGCAGGCATCTCCAGTGCAGTTCCTGGTGAAGGAAGAAAGCTCCAAGTCCATCTCCTGCAGCGTAAATGCACCCAGGTCGGAGCGGTGCAGCACTGGGAACAGCAGAGATGCAGAAGTTAGGGACAAAGACCAGATGCTGCAGGAAAAGGACAAGCAGATCGAGGAGCTCACCCGCATGCTGAAGCAGAAGCAGCAGCTGGTTGAGATGCTTAGGCTACAGCTAGAGCAGGAGAAGCGCTCTCAGCAGTCGCTGCCAGCCCCGGCGGCTGCGGGAGAAGGAGCAGCCCTTGCCTCCACCCCGGCAGCATTTGGCACCCAAGTCAAGATTGAAAACGGTTTCCTGAGTTGCCAGTCTGCAAAGCAATCCAGTGGCCAAACAGACCAGTTCAGCCCTGCCCCAACCACCAGCCAAATGGACACTTCGAATCCAAGCCCAGTGCCAAAGAAAGCCGTGATGGTGAAGCAGGAGGTGCCAGCTGCAGAAGCAGAGCCGCCGTGCCAGTCCCACAGCCCGCGGCTTTTCCTTGGCCAGCAAGGAAGCGCCCTGAGCGACCTCATCAAGGGCACCCCTCCCCCCACCCTCATCACCGACTCCACAGGGACCCACATCGTCCTCACCGTGACCAAGCAGAGCGCTGAGAGGCAGGGCCTCTCGCCCCACGGGAAGGCAGGGAGTAGCTGCCCAGCCTTGCAGGTAGGCACGGGTTAGATCGCGTCCCCACTGCAGGCAGTTGGGGGTTCCTCTCTCCCTCTTCCTGCTCCTGTTGTTCAGGATGACTCAATGCGGTGGAAATTCAATGCAGTGACTCCTAAAATGGCAGAGTTGCTTGCTGCGGTGGCTGGTAGTTCATGGCTTTGTGAGACAGAACAGTGTAAGCAGATCTTCAGCAAAAATATGGGAGTTGGACAGTGGTGGACTGTCTACAGCAGTGCACGATTGACTGTGTGCATCATAGGCTGTTCAGCATTCTTCCAAACACATGGCTCTGCCTTTTGTCAGGCAGGATCTTGGGCTTGGAGGACAAGGGTTTGCTGCCACATTTCACTACTTTTTGAAAGAACAACTATGTCTGTGCTATTAAAAAACAGAGGGTGGCTTTAACCTCTTGCAATTCATTATGGAGATTGTTGTTGGAGTGATAGGTCACCTTGTCTACCCAGCGCTGAAATCAGACCCTGGGAGCAGGCATTGGCTTTTTCACTGCTTTATTTTAATGCATGTCAGTGTTTCAAGTGTTAACAGAGTCTTTCATCAGAGATGATCTACTGTTCCCCTGTTGGTATGAGCTCAGCACTTAACAGAAGTGTTCTGAGTGTTTCTTCCAGGAAGGGATAAATATGCCCAGGTTTTATAGCCTAAGTCAAACCCCAGTGTCTTCCATGGCATAAGAAAAAGTTTTCATTCTTTGCTGCCACATTCCTTGCACCTTCTGCAGAGCATGTGGCAGTGTCTGCTATCGGGGCAGGCACTGAGCAGGCTGCATTTGCTGTGTAGCAGGTGAGATGTGAGCCAACTGTCTTAAGTATCAGTGTCCAGTGTCACCCTTGATACCCCAGGATCTCTCACCTGAACTCCAGCCACTGCTCCACAAGGGCACGGTTCCTGCATCATGTTTGCCAGCCCTTGGCATGGGTAGCCCGGGGATTTTAGGAGTGGTACTACCTTCTCTTTCCAGTCTCTGAATCCCACCCCAGTCTGATTTCTCTGCTTGGTAGAACAGAACAATTGACTGAATTTCCTAAAGAATAAAGGAGAGGGAAAAACAAACTTCCTAATCCTTTTTAGAAACACAAGCCTCGTTCCATGTTATGTCTAGGGAACAGCTTCTCACAGATACCCTTTCATTTCCAGAGAGTACAATCATCACCCGCTAAAACTTCCAGCCAACCACCGACTCAGCTACCTGCAAGCACCCCTCAGCAGCCCACGCAGCAGCAGAAGCAGCAGCAGCAGCAGCCCCTGCAGCAGGAGCAGCCTGGAGGACTAAACCCATCTGTCATAAAGGTAGCTTGCTGCCTGCTCACTTTTCTTCCTTGTTTTCCTTTGCATGCTGCTGGGGTTTGTAGCCGTGGTGAGAAGGGGACACACACACACACAGAATCCTGATCAGAGACCATCATCACAGCAAGTGAGATGTCACAGCAGCTTCTGCCACAGCTTGCAGATGCACAGAGTGCTTAGTTTTCAGCTTGAATTTGGCAGCAGAAAAGGAGTGCCACTCTGTTCCCCTGTAAAGCCCATGAGGCATGAAATTTCAGGAGCACTCGAGGTCCATGAGGTCTCCCCCCATGGGCAAGCTTGGGAGTGATGTGGAGAGTTAAAAGCAAAGAGCTCTGGGCTGACCCCTCACAGTTTACTCACTTCTGCCCTTTGGTCCCACATCTGAGCAGAGTACCAGCTGGTGTTAAAACATGTGCTGTCTACCAATTAAAAACTATAAGAAGGCTGAGTGGGCATCCTTGATTCACAGTGGTGTCCCTGATTCTTGAAGGAGCACTGCTGAACTGAAAAGGTGGCTACTGCATGGAGATAGGGTGGTGTGGGCATTATGACTGCTGCTGAAGGTGGTGTATGAGCTCTGAGAGGAGCACAAGGGTGTGATTTGCCCTCAGTAAGTTTGCAGACCACACCAAATTGGGCAGGAGTGTTGATCTGCTGAATGGTAGGAAGGCACTGCAGAGGGACCTAGACAGGCTGGATCGATGGGCCGAGGCAACTGTATGAGGTTCAACAAGACCAAGTGTCGGGTCCTGCATTTCAGTCACAACAAACCCATGCAAAGCTACAGGCTTGGGGAGGAGTGGCTGGAAAGCTGCCCAACAGAAAGGACCTGGGGGTGCTGGTTGACAGCAGGATGAACATGAGCCAGCAGTGTGCCCAGGTGGCCAAAAAGGCCAACAGCATCCTGGCTGCATCAGGAATAGTGTGGCCAGTACGACTAGAGAAGTGATTGTGTCCCTGTACTCGGCACTAATGAGGCCACACCTCAAGTACTGTGTGCAGTTCTGGGCCTCTTGCTGCAAGGACATAGAGGTGCTGGAGCATGTCCAGAGGAGAGCAACCAAGCTGGGGAAGGGCCTAGAGAACAAGTCATAGAAGGAACAGCTGAGGAAACAGAGGTTATCTAGTTTGGAGAAAAGGAGGCTGAGGGGAGACCTCATTGCCCTCTACAACTACCTGAAAGGAAGCAAATTACTTTCTTTACTTCTACCAAGTGAATAATGACAGGACCAGAGGAAATGGCCTGAAGTTGTGGCAGGGGAGCTTTAGATTGGATATTAGGAAGAATTTATATACAGAAAGAGTGGTCAAGCACTGGAACAGTCTGTCTGGAGAGATGGTTGAGTCACCATCCCTGGAGGTATTCAAAAGCCGTGTAGATTTGGTACTTCAGGACATGCTTTAGTGGCCAAGGTTGTAGATGGGTTTTTTGTGTTGATGGTTGGACTCAGTGAACTTAGAGGTCCTTTCCAACCATGATGATTCTGTGATTCTGTGGTTCTGTGACCTCTTACTCTCTGGTGCTGGTGAACGTGCTATGATTTCCATTCCCATGCCTTGCACATACCTGTTGGTCATCCCTTGTGAAGTGCTGTGCAGGTTCAGGAAAGAGAGCACCTCTGGCTTTACTCCTTCTCCAGGTGACAGCTGTAAAGAGGCTTTGCTGTGCATCTTCTCCCTTTCTAGTCCACTTAGGTCTCTTTCTGACATATAATTAAGATAAAATACAGAAAGATTATGAACAGCTTTTAGAGACTGGAGGATCACTTCTGAGTCAGATGCTGGAAAGGATATGAAGACAGGAGTAATTTCTAGTGTAGTCACAGTGGGGTATCCACTTTGCAAAAGGCCAGTGCCTTGGCCTGCTTTGAGACTTTGGAGGAAATGCAGAAGGGAAATGAAGACACCTTCTCCCTCAGCCTCCTATAGCTTGTGTGCTGTGGTAGCATCTGTACCAACTCCTAATCCTTTTGCCTCCCTTGTAGGGTCAGAAGCCAGGTCTGCAGGTGGTCACAGGGCAGCTGCCCCATACCATGTAGTCTTTCTCAGCACCTCCAAACCTGCAGCCCTTTTTCCCCAATGGTTTCTCCAAATGGTCCCAGAAAACTGGTGCTCCTGGCAAGGGTAGACCACACAGTGTGTCAAAAAAGGTGCCCTCCCAGGACATCCCAGTCCTCTGTGCCAGCCCCTCTCAGGAGGTGAGCAGAACCCAGAGCAGCTCTGCCAGCAGAGGCCTGGGGTCACTCCTCTACCTTCAGGTAGACAAGCAGTTTTCCAGGGAAAACAGTGCAGAAGAGCATCAACACCTACAAGTGTTGGAACTGGCATTCAGCTACTGCTGGGGGATCTCACTGCTCCAGGGCAAAGAGCCTTAGTATGGATCACATATAACTGCAGAGGCAAAGACCTGATCCACATTTTAAATTTTCTTATGGGCAGTTGTGTGCTGATTCATCTGGTAAAGCTGAGTCATGAGCACCATTTCCTGCAACCCTTGGGGTTTCCTTTGGAGATCTCTGGTGCTACTGAGTGTTCTGGTGCTCTCCACCCACCATGAGGCTGTGAAACTAGCTGCTAGTGAAGCTTGGTTGTTTCCCCAGACTAGGCACTGCAGAAGGAGATGGATAGTAGATAGTTCCTGGGTATCATATTGTGCAGAGTAGGCTAAACACAGCAAGGGAAGTGTCCTTTCTGAAGTGCTAGAGGAATCCCCCACTTGGACAGCTGAGGTTCTCCCCATCCAGCAGCAGCCTGGGGGTGGTTTGTGGCATGGCTGATTTAAGGTTAGAAAAATCAGCCAGATTTCCAGCTGTGAGTTGGAGGGGAAATCTGTCTTCCTCCCCTGCAGCCACGGTGTAGTGCAGAGTACACAGAAGGAGCCAAGCTGCTGAGAGCAAAGCGGTGCCAACCTCTGTGCAGCACTCACCCAGAGAGGGGGTGATGGACTCTCAGAGCAGCTGTGAGACAGGACTTGATGTGGGCTTTCCCCTGATCACTCCTCCTGCCTTTGTTCTGAGCAGCCCTCATCACAGCCCGGCTCTCCTGCTGCCCCTTCCACATCCCAGATGGACCTGGAGAAGCAACAGCACACGCCGCTTTTTGGAACTACTCCACCTCCTCTCCCTGTTCCCTCGGTCCCAATGAAAGAGCCACCAGGCTATGAGGAGGCCATGAAGCAACAGCCAAAGGCTCAGGTGAGAGCAATTCTTCTCCCTGGTTTCATTGGAGAGCAGGTGAAAAGTTGTCATTGTAAATCTGCTTAGATTTCTGATCTGGGCCAGTAACCAGAGGGGAGACACATTGTCCCTTTCTAACTTCACTTTCCTAGCAGAGTTCCTGCTGGAGGGCTTGGGACAGACCCTAAAGCACAGGTAGAGCTCCCAAACCACTCTCTGCCTGGGGAGTGTTAGTACAGCAGCTGCTGACTGTACCTTCCCACCTAGCAGCAGCCTGGGGTTATGGAGGATTCTGGTGCTGTGCCTGCCTGTGCTTGTTCCTGCTAGATAACAGCCCCGTCTCTGGGGCGAGGGGGCAGAGCCAGCAGCCAAGGGTGCTGCTGGAGGTGGAATCTCCCCTGGGAAACTGGAGGTTAATCCTGCGCTTGCTCTCCCCAGGAGAACGGCTGTGCCAGCCAGCAGATGGACGACCTGTTTGACATTCTGATTGAAAGTGGAGGTAAGGTGGCAAAACCAGCATTTCCCAGAGCCTTTGTTCTGAGCCTGGGGATCACAGAGCACTGAGGGGAGAGCCGGTCGTGGCCCAGGTCTTTGCTCCTGTGCCCCGGCCAGTGCCTTTAGCACAGGCAGAAGTCATTAAGGTGCTAAGGGAGATGTCAGTCAGACGTTAGGATGATACAAAGCTTCTTGGTGGTTCTGCTGCATCAGATCTGGGCACATCTATTCTGCAATACGAGACAGAGCTTGAATACCCCAGAGGAGGGCTGAAAACTCCCTGCAGCAAGCTGAGAGCAGGCACAGGATGACATTCCTTATCCCAGCTGATGGTCAGTGATGGCTCCATCTGAGAGGTCGCTGTTGCTCTTCTGGGTGGGAGGGATCTTTCCAGTGTTTGGCCAAGCTTTTCCTCACCCTGACCTTCTTGTTTGTTCCCTGGACAGAGATTTCTGCTGACTTCAAGGACGAGTCATCCCCAGCTGGGAAAGAACCGCCTGCAGCCCCAGCCTGCCCCTCACCGCCCAGCAGCCACCCTTCCTCAGAGCTGGTGGTGCCGGTGTCCCTGGGGCAGCAGGTGCCTGTGGGCCGGCTGGAGGACTTCCTGGAGAGCAGCACGGGCCTCCCGCTGCTGACGGCAGGCCACGATGGGCCAGAGCCCCTGTCCCTGATTGATGACCTCCACAGCGAGATGCTGAGCAGCTCAGCCATCCTGGACCACCCGCCTTCACCTATGGACACCTCGGAATTGCACTTTGCTCACGAGCCATCTGGGGGCATAGCCCTGGATCTGGCCGAGGCTAACTTGGACAGCATGGACTGGCTGGAGCTGCCAGGGGGGCCCGTGATGAGCCTGGCTCCCCTTAGCACCGCAGCTCCCAGCCTCTTTTCCACAGACTTCCTTGATGGACACGATCTGCAGCTGCACTGGGATTCTTGCTTGTAACTCTGTGAGCAGAGACTGAAGGGAATGGGAGTGGGAGGGCAAGGGCATGCACGGGGGAAGAGGCCAGTCAACCAAAAAAAACCAAGAAATGAGCTCCTGGTACTTGTACTCCTCCCCCAACAGTGTCCTTCCTCCACGAAGCCGGCAGTGATGGCAAAGGCAGAGCTGCTGCTCCAGTCACTGCTTCCAGGGCAGGGAGAATGGGTGCTGGGGGGTGTGGAGAAGAGGCTGCAGGAGCTCTGGGGCTGGTGGCCTCCTGCCCTCTCTGTGCAGCCTGGCCCAGCTTGGGTGAGGGAGGAGCCAGCAGCCCCTCTCCCTCCAGGCAGGAGCAGCGATGGCAGCGCCTGGGCTGCAGTGCTGGGGGCACCAGATCCCTCGCCTTGGGACACAGGATGACTGGGCCGGAGCCGTTTCCAGAAGCAGCATCCTGCACTTTGCTGGGACTGGCAGATAAAGGGGCTTCTGCTGCCCTGGCACAAGTGGTTTAACAGTTGCAAAAGGGGTTCCTACCTCCAGAGCAGGATGCAGAGGTGGGAATGCTGGCTGGGGGCCTGGAACAGCTGCCCTCTGCCCCCACCGGCTGTCTTGTCAGGGGAGGGTCTGATCTGCTGCAGGGCTATGAGGAGCTGGGCAGAACAGGCACCTTTTCCAAGTGTAGCCACAGGGAACCAGGGTTCCCCACCAACCTGGTAATGGCTAAGCTGGTTTCCCAAATATCGCTGAGCATGGCAGAGGCCTGCCTGCTGCTTCACTCACTTTGGGCTGCAAAACAGATTCTTAAGGTGCTAAAATCCAGGTCCTTACATGTTAAATCTGTCCTGTGCTATGCCCCAGACCTCTGGCTGTGTTGGAGCCTACCCTTCAGGCTCCCTCCTGTCCCCCCAGCATGTGTGACATCCCCAGGTAAGTAGAGCAGCCAGTCTGTGGTGGGGTTAGAGGCAAGACAGTGTCCGTGTGTTCTGGGGCACGTGTGAGGGGCATAGCGAGCAATGAACAACATATCATTAGGGGCCATGTGCAATCTGTCTCCTGCCTTCAGCTGTGCTGTTGCCTCCCTGTAGCAGGTGCCCCAGTGGAAAGAAGCAGCTGAGGGTGTCAGACCCACCAGGCAAGCAAGGGTAGCTGCAAACTGGGTGTTGTGTGGCACATCACAGGTCCTAGCTCAGTAGTAAGAGGTGGGACCCTGAAAACAAGTAATGGGTGGCTGACCTCTGCTCTTCCTGCCCTCCAGGCCCATGGCATAAGAGGCAGAAGCAAGTGGCTGCTTGTGGCAGTGTGCAGGCAGCTGCTGCCACGTAGGGCCCCAGGCTGGTGTCTCGGGGTAGCTGCTGACTGGACTAGTAACCCAAGCCCCCAGAGCCATGACCACGCTTTTCCTTGTGCAGCGTTTTGTGTTGGAAACCCAAGCCTGTGGTTCTCCCTTTTTCTCTCTCATATGCTGTTACTCCTGTCACTTTTAAATTCCTGTGTTTGTTAGTAGTAACTCACCTCTGTATTTAGCAGGTGAGACATAGCCCAGCTGTGCCCCCTGTGGCTGCCCCGCCGGGCAGCTACCCCAGCTCTGGCCCTGAGCTGGATCTGGGCTGCTCGGGGGCTGGGGGAGGCAGTTCCCAAGGGCAGGGCTGGAGGCAGCAGCTTCTGAAATCTTACAGCCTAAGGTGCTGACCCTGCTCAGGCAATGGAAGGCTGAACTGCCGTCCTGTTAATACCTCCTTGGGGATGCTGACCTACCTTTCCTCTGCACTGTCCTGCCTGCTGGCGTGGGGTAGGTGTGGGTGAGCACATGCTGCTCCCCTGCCCCTTCGGTACCGCAGGGGTGCGGGTACTGCGGGTACCTCTGCTCCAGCCCTGCACGACTGCTCTCTTTATCAGCCACTAAACTGGCAGCCAGGTGGGGGTCATGCCGGTTTTGCAGCTGGGAGAAACTCCTGCTTTTCTGAGCCCTATTTGCTTGTTAACTGCATGGGGAGCCACTTTCTTAATCATTTGCAGGGGAACCTGCTGGCAGCTTCCTTCCTTTCTGCCCCCCCCCTCCCCCTCTCTCT